CAGGACACAGAGCATCTGCGAGGCTGGTCCCATGATCATGGAGTTGCTCTACACCCCTGCTTACTCCTGACAGTAGCTACTTAGAAAAAGATGGTATTACATGAGTATTCTTCCTCTCCTCCCCACTCAAACCACAGCAACCCACCAGCAAACCCAGGCTGATAACCAACATCTGCATAACCCCCTGGAGCTGACCACAGGCATAGAGCATCACGCACAATGCTAATCAGCAAGTTTTCAGGCTGTGCTGCTTCACGCCTTTACTGATAGAAGCCAGATAATTTCTGTCCCTTTGTTGGTGCTGGGTCACACCCACCCGTCTGCCACTACCAGGTCATCCACATCCCAGCCCCCAAACAAAAAAATCTCCCTGGTGCAGCACCCCAGACCGCCAGCATTTTCTGCACCAGCAGCCCTGCCAGCCCACAACTGCCACCACGCAAGATGGGGCTGCAAGAGTCGAGGAGAGCCGTTCAGGGGTTGGGATTGATTTTCTGCCCGAAGCCATCGAGCTGAGCATTTGTGCACCTCCCAGTCTGCATCGCATTTGACAGGCAGCTCATGACCAGCTGCCTGGCACTGCCCGCATCTATCCCCTGCTGCCGGGGTTTCGTGGCTGCAGCCAGTAGCAGGGTGGTTCACACACATGATGGAAGCAAGGGGAGGCAGGCAGAGCCTGCCCACCCTCTTCACCCTCAGCTTGCCCCCTAAACCAATATTTAAAAGGTCTGTTCTGTCTGTTCTAGGGTGTGGAGGGGTCGGGATACATCTGTCCCAAGCGTTTACCCTTAGCACTCATCAGGCAGCCAATCGATGAACGTAAACCAAAACAAATCTCAAGGTGTTCCGGGATTTGTAGCCAGACTGGTCCAATCAATGACCTGAAAATCACTTCAGAAATAAACTATTCCCTCCATCTGGGGTCCAAAGTCCACACCCTGCACCACCCTGGCCTGGGAGACACACGGCTGGTGGGATGGAGGTAGGGCAGCGCTAGCTGAAGAGGCAGGGTGGATGGTGTGTTGGTCACACGCAGCTACCTACAGGTGAGAAACTCCCTGCCAGCTGATGGGAAGGGAAGCAAATGGGGCCTTTCAGTCTCACCAAAGACGGTGGAAGAACTAGCAGCTGGAACCTGCTCAGAAATGTGGCCAGGTCCACAGCCCTGGAAACACCTGAGGTCGGGAAGATTTGCGGCATGAGGAGATGGCCAACTCCCTATTGAGAGCTACAGCGTCCCAGGAATACCACCTTTAATAGCCCTTCAGAGACAAATTTGATGGCAGCATGCCAGGAGGCACAAGCTGCACACAAGGATCATGGAGTCCTTACAAGCCTACAAAGACCTCTGCTCATTCCCTCCCTGCATGATCCCCAAGGAGGAAAGAGAGCAGAGCACATCCCGCCATCCATAACTTCTGCTGTTCTTCATTGAGACAGGACTGACAGCGAAACCTCTGGCTGAAAACCAACTGCCCAGCCACAGAAAGGGCAGGTTCCCTCCCCATCCCACAGCGCAGCCTGGGCTTGTTGCACAAGCCTTGGACGTACAAAGGACTGGCCACACCAGAGCTTCGGGCAAGGTGTACCAAGAGTCCCTGGTAGTGCCTTTTCTCTCAAAGTGGCGTAGTTGGGTATTTCATTGTGGCAGAAAGGTACTGACCTCCTTCTCATTCCCATTTCTGCCAGGGTCACAACAGCAGAGACGTCAAAGGTTTCCTTACCCACCCAGGCATGTTCCTCCCGATCACTGCTACCTCACAGGTATACCAGACACATTTTGAAGATGCACAACTGGAGAAAAACCCTCAAGGGGGGTATCATTTATGTTCCTGGCTCTCCCCCTGGGCTCAGTGGCTTGGCTTAAGTATCTCCATCCTGCCCAAGCCCTGTTCAAGGCATTTAAACCCCCGCCGTATCAAACGCCTCTGCAAGAACCAGGAGACTGATCCCCACAACACGTTAAATCAACTTCCTGATGTAGATGGAGAGATCTCAAAGGCAGGTGAGGAGTCAGCCCCGTACCCTGTTCTGGTGCCCCCGGGAAGGGGCAGGGGAGTGCCCCACGCAACCCCAGGGCTCCCAGCCACCAGCACCAACCTTATTTTGCAGTGAAAACACCACCCTGCGTCATCAGTGAGGCACCAAAATCTCTGTTGTGTTAGAGAGAGGACACAGTAGTGGCATCCAGAGAATCCGACACGGGAATCCCAACGGATAAAGCATCAACACACCATGGGGAAGTTCACATTAGCGAAGCTGGAGCAGCTGGCAGCTCCCAGGGCATCACTACTGCCAGGTAAAATCCTGTCGGAAGATGGTGTTTTCCTTCACCTGTGGGACTGCACACCTGACCTGTCATCACTGCCTGCTGGTGAGAAGTCCTTTCCAGTGGTGCGCCTGTAGCCCATGTTTCGCATCTGGCTTGCTAAAGTGCTGTTGAGTACAAATCTGTCGGTGGCATTAGACGTGCCTCCTCTCCTCCTCTGGACACAAGAGGTCACACTCTTAATTCTACTTGGTAATAGAAAGACCTTTAAACATACAGGTCAGGAAAGAGCAATGAAGAGGGCTACAGATACAGCAACATCCAATCTTACTTTAATAAAATGCATTTCAAAAGAAAGCCAGCACAAGTTTTATGAGCGATAGAAGCTCCCGAGACTGTAGAAAGACCTACTTCTGCTCCATCCATCCTCCAACCTACCAACCGAACCTTGCAAAACATGCAATGCACACTCCGTCAACTTCATATTGTTGATATCACCCTACCGAAAGTTACAGGGCTTCTCCCTTCTTTCTCCCCGCTTCTTTTTTTAAAACTAAGAGAGGAAAAAAAGGGAAAAAATAAAAGAAAACCTAAAAACTTCCAAAAGCGAGGCAACGAGAGGAAAGGCATGTAAACAGTTTGCAAGTAATTCATATGGATGCCTACACAGGTGCCATGTTTTCAAGAGAAGACCAAGCAAGTTTGCTAGCAGGAGTGCATGTTTTGTAAGAGGTAGTAAATAAACTAGCAAATAAACCATCCAGACTTCAGGAAAACTTCACCAGAAGTTGAATTTCAATGTACAGCATAAGCATTCACTATAAAAGGCTTCTATTCGATGTGTCCAGGAAAATGCCCGCTGTCACAGATAAATTTCATAATATAAAAGTACTTAACAACATCTATCTACCAACATGAGATCTGTTGTCATTTCTATTGACAGAAAAAGAAAGGTTGGATTTGCTTTTAAAAAATTATGATGTCGTGCATACACAACCATATTCAGTGACATACGCAGCTTTAAACTTCAAGTGCACACTAATTTAGAAAATAAACAGTTGCAGTGTGCAGATGGACCTAGTAATCATATATAAAATGTACTTTTTTGTTTTCTTAAGTGTCCGCCGAGCCTATACTGCACACACAAAAGTACTTTGCTTTGTCCCTTATTATGATGCACAGTGAGGGAAAGCCTTAGTTACAAGTTCACCCAAGTCAGGTCTGCAGGAATGAGCTCCTCAGCTCCAGATGACTACCAACTCCACCAGCAGCTTTTGGAAACAGTGACCCTTAATCGTTTTTCTGTTAGAGACTCATGTTCATAATAAAAGGGATGCTCTTTTCTGCCAGTTCTGCAAATCCAGCTTGCCGCCTAGGAACAAGTTCTCACAAGCCACTGGTATGCGTTAACAGCACAATAAAGCTCTGTCTCCCTATGCAATCTTTAGATTACTCCAAACCACCTCGGTGACCTCTGTGCCCTGGCTGGAGTGACACAGGAGCAGTCGGTGTATTGGCAGTGAGTAAACGTGCACCCGGAGGACCATATTGGACTCCTAACCCTCAGCTATGCTGTTTCTGCAGGTCATTCAGCAGCAGGTGGTGATGGCATCTTCTTTTTGTCACTCGTTAGTGACATGGCTCTGAATATGCATGAAGGGAGAAGGTCCCATTAGTATGTAGTCATGTCTCAGAGTAGCTTCACATTTTTGCTAGACATAAATGGGTGTGAGAGCCCTCACAGGGAAAGGGGCTCTGTGCTTATTTGAAGATGTTGACTTGTGGTCACTCAGAAAGTCAGCCACGAGCACGAGACGGTGAATTGGGAATCCTGGGGTGGCTCACAGCAAAACGCGTGAAGAGCTAAGAGTCACTGAAAGCCAAACCATCTGCGCATCAGGTCAAGGAACTGCTCTTAAGCACTAGTCCCAAAAAGTTATTTATTTGCCTGACCTAGAGAGGAGAGCAGTTTTACAGATCTGTCACCTGGAGATGACAGCTCTTGGTACTTGGTACTCTGTGGCACCAGCAAGACCATAATGAAAGCTACTATTTCTCAGGGACAGAACTCCCATCAATGTCAAAGGGAGCAAACCTGGAAGTGTGCTCCCATTCCTTCCTACTGTAATTATTTTCCAATTTAGGGAAGAAAACTTACCTACGTATTTCAGTGTTTCTAACCGTTCTGTCGAGAGGCACAAACACTGAGATTATATCTCCTTCTCACTACTGACACTTAGCTCATCGGCTGTTTCACACAATCTCACCATTGGCAAAACAAGGGGAGTCAGGATGCCAATCACACAGGCAGAGTCCAGGTGCTGGCCAAGAAACAGTCAAGTCCTGGTCCTTTGCTTTTAGATGCATCCTTTAAAGTAATGAATCCCTCTTTTCTAGGGCACTTGGCAAAGCCCCTGCCATGACTCGACCAACACTGGTGCTCCAGTCACTCATGGGTTTCTATCACAGCATCTCTGTTGTGCATCAGAACCAAGTTTTATAAGAAAAACATAAATGGAGAAGATGGTGGCCACCATTTCTGGTAAAAGCATTGCCCTACCTCTTCTATTTCTACCCTCTTTCTCTGCCATTTGCCTTATATGAGGGCATTTCTGCGATGGGGTTTTATGAGAGTGCACATCACTCTGGGGTTGCATAAAGAACTGCTATCAGCCTGCCACAATGCAATTAAACCCATGATTGAAATGAACAATAAATAAAGAGAAAGACATAGAGGTTTTAAATATAGGTTTCCATTAAAAGCATTACAAAGACGACTTCTCTCATTTTGAAGACAAAGAAAAAATCCACTTCTACTAAAAAAAAAAAAAAGAAAAAAAATTTAAAAATCACCCCTTTGCAAGTAAGTTTAATGAGGAAAGGTGCAGGGAAGGGAGGGAGAGAGGACTTGGAGAACTAGCAAGTGTTCAAAAGGGTGGATGCCCTCCATCTCGGTCATTTTGCAATGGCACCTTCTTCTCACACAGTCAGGTCAGAGAGCCAGAGTCCTCACGTGGAGGATTTCACCACCTGCTCGTAAGGGGGAGGTGGTGTGTTGCAGTAGGAAGGTGGGGGTGGGTAAACCGGGTTTCCTTGTGGGGAATTGGGCTGGACGTGGAAAGCCATAGCCATGGGATTCATCACAGGTCCACCTGGGTCTGTGTAATATGGCACTCCAGGTTGTTGTGACCCTGAAAGAAAGAGAAGAGGAGAAAAGGTATCAACAACGGCAGAAGCATCAGGCAGCGGTCGTGCTCTTCCAGGGCTTCTGCTCTGCACAGTTGGACAAGCTTTTTCAAAGTGTTCATCAGAGCAAGGACAATGAGCCACCTTTCTCCCATTCCAGAGAAAACCCAGACTTGCAGGATGACATTCACTGCTTGAGACTTCACCAAAAAGTTTCAATTTCACATGCAATGGAAATCATTTAATGAAACAAAGGGCACCAGTGCCCCAAGCGACTACCATTTGAAAGGGAAAACAGCAAGCCCTGCTCAGTTCCCTGGACAGAAAAGCTGCCGTGCCTGTAGAGAGGAGAGCCATGGTATCCCAGATGGACAAAGGGGTTTCCACTGCAGCCCTGACTCAGATGTCAAGTCTTACAAAAGGACTTCACAGGTTATTTTGTAATGTACTGGATCTGCTTGTATGCCAGAGTGCATCTCAAATAGATAATTTCCCTTCAAGGCACAATACGGCTAAGGAATAAACACGTATGAAGCAAAAACCCAAGTTGAAGCCAATTATGGCTAGCTAACACAATGGGACAAAATTGCTTTGCACAGATTAAATTTAGGAAATGATGTTGGAGCTTGCAGGGACAAGGAAAGGAAATGTACGATCAAACGCAAAATTCCTTAGCCGTGACACATGAGGAGTAAACAGAGACTGCTGCCATGAGGAATAACAAAGGTGGCGTGTAACCCTCCTCAGATATCACAGCGGGTGGTGGAGGACAAGTTAATGCAATTCCAGCAATTAAAGTCACAGATTGTCTCTATCTCAAGATGTAAATTAGTTTTCTTCTCTTTCTCTCTGTCTATTTAAATAAAGCTGGACTGGAAAAAAAAAAAATCATGGCTAAGCAACAGGTTTTCTTCTTTTGGTGCTAGTCTGTTTTTCCTACAATGACACAGCCTCTAAGGGATTTTCCACTCAATCATTCCTTTCCGTTACTTAGTGACACTAGGACTCAGTATTGCCACAGAAGGAATACAGGCTTCTTGAAGCTTTAAGCATCCTTTAGTACGTCAAGCATTCAGGAAGGAGCTACATACTGAACCCAAAAACGTGTCCTTACAATATTAAATCAGATGGGTCGAGCCATAAGGCACGGGGATGCAAACTGTCCCAGAGCCTGGGGTGTCTGCCTAGGGAGCTTTGTTTGGACATTCGGGAGCAAAGAGGGCGGAAAGCAGATTGGGAATGCAGCTATTTCCTTCTTAACACAATAATTTTTAACACACCACCACAGTAATTTTTCCTTTTGCCTGTCTGAGCGAAGAGGGCTGCTCCGCAGCCTCTCTTCCTTTGCCGCAGCGACGAGAAGCCCTTGTTCTGCTTCCATGTATAGCGTCAGCATGCAGCTGCAGGAGAGCCAGACTGGGAACAGGAGCCGAGTCTAATACCCTCTTCTGGAGCCTTTTTCTTAAGCATTTTTGTTTTAAAGTTAAATCCTGCCCAGCTCTGCATTTCTGCCGTTTCCATCTGCATGGGGAAATGGGAGAGGTTGAGGTAGCTCACTGCAGCTTGCTCCTTAGGAAAAGAATTATTTTCATTAGAACTTCCACGTATTATTATTAAATTGGTGGGGGGCAAGTGTGGACACCAATCTTTTGAGATATTTTTTCAGTTCGTTAAACCCAGCAGAAAACAACATCTGAATATCAACTTCCTTGTGGGATCAGCTCAGTAAGTATTTGTTAAGGGCCTTCAAAGGGACGCAACCTTTTCTAGCAGTTTGGGGCTATGAACTGACAGTTTGGGGCTATGTAGGCCAGACCTAAAGTGAAAGACACAACCAGGTCTGCAAACTGCTGTTTGTAGGTGAGGCGTTCGATCCATTTTCCCAGTCAGGTCCACTGAAAAAGCACTCCCACCTCCAGGCTGCTGCTGGGATGGCAGAAGATGCTGCCGTTATCACTGCAGGGAAGGAGGGAGATGGGCAAGGAGCCACGATTCAGGGGCTCCACCTCAGCTGTGAACTGGCTACTGCTACCAAATCTGGAAGAGGAGCTAGAGGAAAATGTGAACTTGGTTGACTAGTAATTCCCATTGCTTTTGCTGTTGAATATTTCTAGAATAGTAGAAAAAGTAGAAAAAAAATTTTGGTGGGGTTAGCTTAGAGCCCAAAGCTTTAAGAAACAGTAATAACAGTCTGGAAGCAGGTGGCATAAGCAGGTCACCAAAGGGCTTGTGCTTATTTTATATTTGCCCTCAATTTGCGTTCCATGAAAAACTAAAACCATGCTTTAAAATTAAATCCGGCATTCACCAATCCAGCCAAAGATGCTCTCTGTTCACATAGTTTTGAGGTTATTTTTCAGGCTTAAAAATACAGTTTAGTTAGTTTGGCTCCCTTCCCACTGTTGAAAAATGAATACTCTCTGTGGAAATGCTTCTTCAGTCAAGCAGAAAAAAAGATGCAGAATGGAAGCCCTAAAAAACCCTTAGGATTTAAAAAAAAAGGGTGAATAAAATGTTAGTTTGTGTCTGTAACATCTTTTTATCCATTTAGACCTGTGAGAGAGAGGGGGGAAAATGCATGTTTATGGGTACATGCTTCAGGATGCAAGAAAAGCATTTCCAAAGCCTGCACAAGGCACGTGGGTGTGCAATAGCAGGCATGACAGGGGAGAGAGCCTGAATGCTGCATCTCTGCACAATGCTCGTAGTCACAGCTAGCTAGACGGGGGTTTAAGACACTTTTCTAAGGAGGCTGTCTTGATGCAGCCACAGCATTGCACAGAGATGTAATGGTTCAGAAGACAATTTTTGATAGAGAGGTTTGAGGCACCAAATTTTCAGAGAGATCCCCCTTCTCCTTACAAAATATTCAGCTGTATTTCCACTTCCAAGCCAGTATGAAACAAAAACAAATTGCCAATTCCAAAAAAAGTTGTCAGAAAAGGTAATTATCCTCTGGCTTCAGCTCTCTCTAATACAACACGCAACAAAATGGCAGCCCGGGAGGAAAAGTGTAAGTGTACCAAGCGTGCCTGCATATGTGTGTGTGTGCTTTCGCTGGCACAAATTAGGACCGGCTTATGCAATCTGGAGAATGGTTATAAACGTCTCAGTTTGGCCTTGCTGAGGCAGGGAGAAGGCAAGCACCTGAACGTGCACTCAGATATGATCTCAGCACTGCAGAAGGTCTTCCAGCTAGGGACAGCTGCATTCAAAATGCTCCCATAAGGCACAAACATCTTCTGCTTACAGTTGAGTCTTATTTCGCAGGATTCTCCCAACTGGGACTATCTAACAGCCAGAGGGGAAGAAATAACAAACCTAGAAAGCAGTATTGCCAGAGGAGCCATCACTAAGTAGATGCTCCTGATGCTCACAACCATTACTGACCAGAGAGAGAGCAATCAGACTAAAAAGGGGAGAAGGATGACTTTGCTGCAGAAATACTGTAGTACAGAGCATGAAAGGCAAATCAAAAAGAGAACACTTACAAGATAGCCAGACCATGGAAGAAAAATGTTAGGCTTTCCTTCACCTCTGCCAGATATTATCAACTGTATTTAAAACTCTTTCTTCATGTCACTGTTCATTTTGGATACTTATCATTTTGTCTGTGCTGCAAAGTGAGAACTTGCTAGCCTCCCTCTATGCATGGACACACAGCTGTAAAGATATTAGGAACTACAACAGAAGGGAACTGAAAGTCCTGCCATCCTGGGTTTCAAAAACACTTCTGTACACTGCAGCTGAATTATGCTGTTTGAAAGGCAGAAGACTTCACTCATCACAGGAGACGGCTGCATGGTTTAGTGCAGTGCAATCCCTTGTCCAAATACAACAGTTTCCAAAAACCAAACCAACAAAACCCCCAAACCCACCCTTTTTAAATGCCTTGGCAAATGTAAGAAATTAGTGAAACTTGTTTAATGAGCAGTCTCTGACCTGATGCAGTGTTGACTGGTTGTCTGGTGTAAGACACGTTAAAAGTAGGTTCTTCTACTAGTGGAGGAGGGTACATCCGCCTTCGGATAAAGAAACCAGCTCCACAACAGAACAAAACTCCCATCATCAAAAGGAACCTAGGCAAAGAGAAGAGGGAAGTCAAAACCCACCCGCATTCAGGCAGCTCTCAAACCCAGACTGTTTGTTGAGAGAAACAAGAGTGTCATCTAGCAATCATCAGCCTATGACTTTTATCGGGGTTTCTTAAATAGGTTGTCTCTTGAGAGCAAGTCTATGTCATTTGAGATAGCACTCATGGGGCACTTATGGATATATTATGGACATCTTTAGCAATTAGTACTATCGTCCAACGTTTTCTGGCATGTAAAATACAAATCTGAAACTAAAACATCCTTGAACTTTTGGAAAGTTCAGGTTCATACCTGACCTTTGCCACCAGGATGCTGAACTGAAATTCCTAGTCGGTACAGTTTTAAACTGCGTATCTTGGACACAAGCTTCACACTTACAGCATCGAGGCTGGCCAAGAGGTTTGTGGGGGACAAACAAACTGCGTATCTTGGACACAAGCTTCGCACTTACAGCATCAAGGCTGGCCAAGAGGTTTGTGGGGGACAAAGAGGAATGCTATTCTGCAGTTGCCCTTAAAAGAAGATTCTTAGATGTTCTTAAATTACTCGATGCTAATTTTGTCTTCCATGGGCAATATGGTAGCTGGCATTTAAGCTCACGCCATAAGACTGAAGCATTCAGCACTGAAGATGACAAGCTTTGCTTTGTGCTTCCTAGACGGGACATACATTTCTCAAGGAAAAAGACATCACTTTGTTTCAGTTCTTCTCTTCTCAGCTCTTTTTCTGACCTGACTAAACTGTCCTCATCATTCCCTTGCCCTGGTGCTGTGGAAACAGGCACATGCAGCAAGGGCACGTCAGAAGATTTTGTTCTTCAGACAGTGGCTTTCACTGTGTTTCCTTGATTAGTCAGCAGACTGATGCAAGCTCCCGTAAACCCAAATGGTTCTTTTGCCTGTAATTGCCACCTCATTTCAGGGCCCTTTACTGGAAGACAATGACAACTGTGCTCTTTTGGAAGGGATGGAAGTTGGCCAAAGGCAAGCCTACACACCATGCTTATCTCCTCTGGAGCATTCCCAGGTGCTCAAGAGGAAGAGTGTGACACTGCATAGCAGCGAGAGGTATTTCATGCAAAGGGTCAAATTCTGTTCTTGTCTGTACGGTGGAAATGAGAGCAGAAGGAGGTCCTGTTTCCCTGAGCCAATATTAATACATTCCCTTTTGGCAGCGTTCCTGCAAAGGATTTGTTCTGAACAGAAAAACAGAGATTTACGATGTCACCCCAGGGATTGAGATGCAGAGCTCCTCAGTTATATCAGTAAGGATTGCACACTGAAATCCCACAGTCAGCTTGGGGAAATCACTGTATTATAGTATATATCAGGCTTCTGTTTTTCAGTGTTTATTTGTTTCAATTTTGAAGGCTTTTTTTTTAAGCAGTCTTCAAATTCTAATAAAAATGCCTGAAATCAGGTTTTCTAGGAGATCTTTTGCTTCCTGTCTACTGTAATGAGAAGGTTTTACTCAGGTGCTTTCTTAAACTCCTCTCCAAAACGAATTTACCTTATTTTTTAAATTATATATATAACAGTGATTAGTCTAAGCTTTATCCAGATTACTGACCTGCTGGTTTCACAAGCTCAAATCTTTCTGCCTTCTTTTCTCTTGCTGTCATCTCCAGTGAAATCCTCATAGTCATAAATGTACTTCTCCTCCTTTTTAATTGAAGCCTCAATTCGGCTGGCAAGAATGTCTTAAACTCTGTCTAAATGCACAGTCCATCTTATACAATCCTCTTTTAAAAGCGAGTGCCCCCAAAAAATGGACAAACACTGCTGCTTGGTAGTAGCTGGGACAGGCATAAGGAATTCAGCAATTTTGCATAAAAGTGGGACCGCTGCCTGTACAGACCAGCAGGATGTAGAAGCAGAAAAGGTCAACCTGACACAAGTAACCTCCTTTTCCAGTGTTTTCTCACTACATCGGGAGAATTTTATAAGCAAAAAAACAAAGTCCTTGCCTTTATATGTACACATATACATTACTGCATACTTGTACCTACTTTACTTTAAAATACTAGGGCTGGCAATACCCTGATTTAAGTCCTACAAACAAGACAAGAACAGGACAAACATAAAATTCCCAGATGCCCTGACCTACCAAAAATACCACAGTCGCTGGATAGAGAGAGCTCTTACACAGCATCTTGAACCACAGCAATCCTCATAGGAGCGACATCTGCAGAGAAATAAAGAGAAAAGGGCGTTAGGGGAGTGGTTGTCACTCCGATTGAAATGGCATCCCCAACTCTGACGCTGCTTGCACCCCTGCCCAAGGCATTATTTAGGACATTGCCATGAACCTGGGAGGTAAAGCCTCCTGGAAGTGTTCAAGGTCAGGTTGGACGGGGCTTTGAGCAACCTGATCTAGTGAAAGATGTCCCTGCCCATGGCAGGGGGGTTGGACAGGGTGATCTTTAAAGGACTTTTCCAACCCAAACCATTCTGTGGGTCTATGAATAACAACAGACTACCCTTGGCTGGATAAAGTTGTCAATTATATGTACACATCCATGGCACAGCTCTATCACTATTCAGGAACTTTTTGCATGTTATTGAAACTACCTTCCTATATACTTCTTTTAAAGCCACTTCAAAAAGACTGAACGTAGTGTTTAAGTCTATATAAAAGGACATGTTACAAAGAAAAGCAGTATTACTGTGTTTTCTTTCACAGTAAATGAACACTGCAGACCTCAAACATGAGCCATTTGGGGTTTTATTCACTGCACCAAACAAGAATTGCAAGGTCAAAACTGCCAGATCACTCATTCTTTTCAAATCGACAGCTTCCAAACAGAGAAACCACCAAGTGCAGAGAAAGCTTCAAGCATACTGTTATTTGCAAGTTTAATGTCATTTTTTGCTTCTCAGAAGTTGCACTGGACTGCAACTGCCAACAACTCCCGTTATTTAAGTAGGCTTTCCTCTAAAAAACCCCCCACATTTAAAATTAATATTTCATATGGAGTAGAACCATTTTAAAGATATTATAGCACCAGCCACTGTAAGCACAAGGTACCACTTCACTAAAAGGTAGCACATATATTAACAGCTACCTCTGAACAATTTCTATGGTAACTGCCATTTCCCACACCAATGAAACATATTTAGTAGGAAAAAGGACAGAGGCAACACAGAAGCTATGGTATGTGACAGACTTAGATGAAAACATTCAGATTAGCATATCGACACACCAAAAGAAAAGAGGAGGTTACCACAACTGGATCAATCTTTTTAAGTGTGTTCACAGCTATATGCTCAATGCACAGATTTAATTAAGCACCTGATTTTGGAAAATTTGCCCAACTGCATGACTGTGCTCCCATATTTGTATGCAGAGCTAAAAAAAAAAAATCAATTGGATAATTGTACAGACAATTACACATTTACAAGCTCAATTAACAAGCCTTCACTCACAAAATATGTCAAGTCACACAGGCTTCAGCCTCTAATTGGGGCCAGAGGAGGATGCTCTATGGATACATAATCAGTTGTTTTGCAAGTGAAAACAGTTACATGCTCTTTGATGACAAGTAGGCAGGATTTATTTAAGCAAGCCGGAGGATCTGACATGATCAGCATGGCAAGGTCCATTAATATACTCAGGCACCCAGTCTGAGACTCAAGCAGAGTAAGTTGTTCAGGCCAAAAGACAAAACACCCACTTTGCTGTCCCTGAACCTGAAAGTGTCCCAGTTTCCAACCTTTCTTCTTTAAAGCTTGCCAGGACCCTAACAACTGCTCATACTCAAAGCTGCCAGATCTCACAAAACTACTAATAAGACTTAGCAAGTAAGCATTAACTTGAGTCCCATCGGGACCAAGAAATTAAGCATCCCTCCATGCTCCCCAAGTGGATCAACCCAACATGAGCTTTCAAGATATATGTTAAATGCATGGACAGAAACAGGCCCCTTATGAAATGGGGTGGCAGCCGCTGCCTTCTGTTAAAACAGTGGTCATGGTACCCCTTTTGCCCTTTAACACACTGCGTGGTTGGAGCACTTCATCCATGTTGATGGGCACTTGCTCCTTTCGCTGATGTTGCACAGCAAGGACTTTTTAAGGCTTGTCGGGCCAGAAAAGCAGAGCCAGGGCCAGGAAACAGAACCCGTAAATCTAGAAGGAAGGAGGTGGAGGTGGCAACTGAACGTCGATCTCTTCCTTTGTGGGCAACCTGTGCTAGCAAATAAAAAAGCTTCCCACCCACTCCTGCGGTTCGACGTTTTAAAAGAAAGAGCCACAATCACATCCATGAAAGAAAGGGAAGGAGTTCCCAACATCACTGGGGGACTGCCCTTTTGTGGCCTTTCTTGAAGCAAGTAAGGCCAAATTATAGAAGGATTTTAGGGATGCGAGCAGTCTTTATCTCTGCCTCCACACACTGGCTCTGTCAGCCCAGACACCTACACCCGGCCACAAGCAGGACGGGGAGCAGATGCGCCAGGCAGGCCTCTGGTGCCATGTCCCAGATCAAGCCCCAAGAGCCGAACTTGTATTAAAAGCTCAACTAAAACAGAGAGCCCAGGGAGGCTGCACGTACGCCTCCCTCGTGCCCACCCTTGCCTTGCTTATTTTGCATCTGTTTCCTCCAGAGCCAGAAGAGATGGGAAAAGGCTATTTTGAAATATATAATTATGATCGTTCAAACCACCAAAATTAAAACAGCATCTGTATGGTGAGCCTAGTACGTGAATTTACTTTTTATTTTTAATCTCCAAATTGTCCAGGCTACATATCGGCACCATTTTTTAAGCCTCAGTGGCTTAGCTTTTCTTCCTGCAAAAGAGGACTAAAGTACCAGCTGGAAGACAGCAAGGCTCAACTGCTGAATGTTTATGAAGCTCCTGAGACCACTGAATGGCAAACAAACAGGCCATCAAAGAGAAGTTTCATGTCCTACACGGATGACTGCACTTTCAAATAGCCAAAAACCATGATGCAAAGGCTCGAGGAGTCTCTCACTACAGCTGTGTTTAGAGAAGCTCCATTTTACAACAGCCAGTAAGCTTTCCAAGGCAACTCATCCAAGGCTAAGCACTGTATTTGCTGGGTGGATCTGTGAAGCTAAATCAGTATCATGACCTCGAGGGAAATCCCTTTCAGATCTGACACTAGTAACCCTTTCACTTTTACCCATAAAACCAAACGGGCGCTGATTCTGTGTGCCTGCAAGTATAGACACAGGTACCCGTATGTAGGAGCCTGGAATCAAGGATGATACCATGATTACAACCTGCTGTTTGTATTCCCCAGCAGCGCCAAAAAAGAGTGGAAGAACAAACGGCCTGTTTGCTGATACTGCCGTCAGGGTACCGCAGAAACCCTGCTGATCTCTTGTTCTTCATTCAATGCACTATGAAAAAACAACACAACTTCTGCCAACATCGATCCCAATTACAAGAAAATTAACTTACTTACAAAAGCCATATTTATTAGCAGGCAAAAGGCAACAATAAAATCAGCTTATTAATGGAGTAACATACAAGCTTAAGTATAATCAGTCTTCGACGTACTATCTATTATTGCCTGACAGCAAATCCCAGCAGAATTAAGACCCTGGTTCAGAAAAAACAATTAAGCACACACACATATATTTATTGAATTGATATGCATATCCTTTAAATTACACTTCTGCTTTGGCTCTGCTTAACGGCGAAGGACTGGTTGTGCCCAATGCCAGTTGCAGAAGAACGAGCCTTACTATCGATCTGAACTGGACAGAGCCCATCTCCTACAGAAGACATTTCTAAAGACAATTTCCCTCTTTCACACATCAACGATGATCCTGAGAACTGCCCTTCCCTAAGGCAATGCTTGTTTCATAGATCAAAATTCAACCCATTATGTAGGGTAAGACATGATCCATTAGTTACTCTGCTAATCTGCAACTTCACCAAGCAGACAGTCTCTCTTTTGAAAACTGTCTGCAATGTGATTTATGATTTAGAAGGTACATCTTTTCATTCATAATTCAGTAGAGTGAAATGAATGCATCTGCATGTCCAATGACTTGCACTGCTAGCACACCACGGAACTGCTGTGTCAGAGATCAAAGTTACACTGCATGTCAGATCACAGCGACAAGCTTTTTGTATGGGTTCACACTTAAATCATGATGCTGAACTACTTTCCTTAATGGACAAGCAAAGCACAAAGTTTCACGTAAGGGTATACGGTATGACCCAAACCCCACAAACAAACCCTGTACTTGCATGCCTTCTGTGGATAATAACTGTTCAATGAAATGGTCCAGAAGCTCTTTTCCATTTCTACCTGCATCTACATAGCTGAACAAGTCCCTTCTTAACAGAGATGCTGCAGGAAAGAACTGCATCTAAAAATAATTCTCTGACTTGCACTTGCTGAAAACTGGAGAAATTAAAGAGCTAAAGCAAGGATTACAGTCTTCAGCAGACTGTATAGCCACAGTTGTCCGACAACATTCCCTGTCCTCACCCAGCATGGGTATTCTCCACCAACGCCATCCCTTTGAAATGCAGGCTGTAGTGTTCTTAGGTTTCCTCTCTAGACCGTTTGCATCATATGTGCCAAAACCTGATTTAACATTTAAGATGTTTGATTAGCAATGTCTTTTGGAAGAGTAGAACAAAACATAAATTGTTAATCCACGTGTAGTGTCAGAAACCCTACTGCAGACACAGGGACAGAGGATAGAAGGGTGAAAGAAAACCACAAACTCCCCACAACAACCAGACACAGTAAACTGCATGATTTCCAACCACGTCCTATAGACAAGCATGACTTTAATTCCAAAAAAGGCTGCATGTCAGTGAGAGGTTAAACGATTGCTGCATGTATGTAAGGTCTATGAAGCAAACTGGGATTGACTGGAATACAAGAAGCACTGGCAGTTTTTTAAATGGGGGGGAACAAAAGGGAGCCAGGAAGTTCAGTAAAGGAAGGTGTAGCAAGAGACCAAAACTAAGAACAGAAGAGAAAGATTTTGGGGGGATGGCTAGTAGCATCAGATGAAGCTAAGGGAGTCCCAGCTGTGGTCCTAACACTGGCACAGGCAAAAGACCAGAAGGAGAACCACAAGTGCTCACAAGAAGGGATGGACAGCTGAAGACTGGGTCACCTCCAGGCAGACTCAATGCTGAGCCCTCAAAGCCAGAAGGCTCAGGTCTGCTTACCATTGAACAGATGAAAGCAGACAGCTAAGTGTGCATATGTATTTACTTGTTCTAGGACAAAGAAGTTTAAAAAAAAAAAAAGGATAAGAAAAAGAACAAGAAAAAAGATTTAATCTGCTTGGAACTCAGCTGCCAGGATACAGTGATGCTGAACAGAGAAAAATCAAACGAGCCATGAAACAAAAAGAAAAACAAAGCAGGCAACCACCACAAAGTGACTAGTGGAAACAACTCTGATGAAGCTCAGAGTCTTGGCTGTGCTATGAATGAGGAGTAATGCCATTGAGTTCAACAGGACTACACTGCCACAAGATTCAGAATTAGACCTGAAGGATGAGGAATGAGGAAGAAGATCAATAGAAAGCATACCAAGTAACTGAAAGAGAGGGAGTTATTTTTCTACCAAGTTTATTTCACCATTGATTAATTCATTTCAGACCATTCTGCATGTGCATTTCCCTATAAAAAAGCAGTTTTCAAAGCAAAGCCATTGCCTGTACTGCTGTGTAAGGAAAGACTCGGGTTATTAACTGCATACATGGGGAAGACCATCAGAGAAGTGGAGGAGCTTAACGCTACAAGCATGGTGGAGACGTTATTCCAAGGAATCCATATTGCTACAGCAGCCCACTGAGCATGGAAATTGAAACACAGAGACCAACTCTGCACTCAGGAGTCCCACCTAACTATTTCTGAGTCCCTAAGTGCTTTAATCTCTCTCCAGAAAGACACTGAAAGACAAAGGCTACATCCCTCCACTGGCATTCACTTAAATGCTTGAGGAGCAGTAACACGAGCAATGTCTTTGGCTGGTGGAGCAGAGTGATAGGCAACATCTGCCTTCCAGCCTTGGTCTTAGAGCTGGTTGTGTCCCCTTGGCATGTCTGTGTACACGGCCTAATTTTCAGCAGGGACACAACTCCACCACAGTTACCTGCAGTCACAGGTTCTCTGCACCCAAAAACATTTCTTTTCTTTTCTTATACATAGCAAAGGTGATCCCTCAGTGCATGCAAGAACAGTGCCTTGTAAAATGTAGCTCTGATTTTGGCGAATATATATATACATATATAACAAATATAACTGCTTCATAGATGAACGCAGTCATGACCTCAGTGGAACATCTGTACTTGAGAGTAAAACACTGCTGCTGGTACCCAGGAGAGCACTAGAGATGTAGTTACCCAGGCACTTGATAAATCACTCAGCCCTTAACTACCTTAGAAAACGTAAGGCAAAAAGGAGGGAAGGGGCTTGTCAGGTCATTTTTTCTACAGAGTAGAAACAACAGAGACAGAAACAATATTTGCTCAGATTAGATTCCTGTCTGCTCTAACACAACTAAAATCTCCTACAATGAGACAAGACACTTGGCTCCTGTCCTTCACACAGACATGAAAAACAAGAGCAGGCAACAGCTAAAAAAGGGATTGTTTCTCAATTATTCTTTGGGTGAAAAGCCTATAAACACCGTCTCTGTGCAAGAACTCAGCAGAATATGGTAAATCCTCCCCCACTTCTGATGGGATGAGAAGTATTTACTCAGCTGCTCCTATCAAACCGACCTTTCTACAAACCTGCTACCCAATGACTTGCCATAACCCCAGCCCTCTCTTCTCAGAGCCCAAGAGGAAAGCCACCCTACTCTCCTTGGGACAATCCTTGTTGTCTGTAAAGGCAGCAAGTCTCACCACATGGCTTTCTGGCCAGCACATAGAAATTTTCTTTGTTCCTCCTGTGGCAGAACCTAGCAAGAATTCCTGTAGTTTGGTCTTCGTCCAGTGGCAGTATATGGTACCTTAAATAGCCATTTTTCAATGTAGGCTGCAGGCCTTTCTTTCACAGAACAAAGCAGAGAAACAGCATAGCTTAAGGCTCTGGCAAAAGTAAGCCATAGATAATCTGTATGACGAGTTTTAATTTTCTGGAGGTGGAATTGTAAATTTCTCACACCAACAGGAATGAGGACTTATAGTTAATCATCAGGCCCCTTATTAAATACACGATTAGCTCTTCATATCTCAAGCTGCTCCCAGTGGGCGAGCAGTCCTACTGCATCTAAACACTGCTTTAGGAGATTATAAGCCATCTGCTGGCAGGGGGCGATGGGTGTTCAAGAATTTGCTATCTACCTGAATTTAACATACTAATGCATAGCAAATCTTTTTTCTTCTCCAAGCCAGTGCAGGAGCATACACAGAGAAGGACACAGATACTAATGGCCAACAGTTAGGCGCCACCAAGTCTTTCAAAATTTTAATTCAGGGTCTCCCTATCCAAAAAGGGTTAGAAGCTTCAAGGTGACTTTGGGGTCAAGTGCTCCTTGATGCTGTCCACTGGAGCTCAAACCAGGTACAAGTCTTTCTGTCCCACTGACAGGAAGCCAGAAGAAATTCCTTCTCAGCCTCACATTAAGGTTCTTGCCCAGGACACGGAAGAGTTAATGCTCTGATGAATATTTCAAGTCAAACAGCCCCAACAGGAAAAACTCATAATAAGCCACAACTGTGGTTATTGCATCCTCTGGAAATGAGAGGGGTGTGGGACTGGGTTCCCTCCTCCACCTCAGCCAGAGCAGAGTCTGGTTTCAGAGGAATACTCCACTGGAAGACAGAGACTGCCCCCCTTTCCTCCCTCCTCTCCTCTCTCAGAATAGGCTGTCTACGCCTGGTCAGCCAGCAACTCCAATATTGTTCAGAGCTTCAAATCTCAAATGAGGTCAGTCACCTGCTTGATTGCCTGTGAAGACTGAGATATTAAATCCCTCTCCCCTTCTCAAGACTCACTGCTAGCAAGTTGAGTTGGTTGTTAGTTTGATAACCTAATTCTCCCCAGGTTGTGCATTGGACAACCGATCCATCGAAGCAAATTCAAGTGCTTGGCAAGGCATCTAGTGGCTGGGTGACTACAGCAGTCGGGACTACAACCTCAACAAATCCATCAACATCAAGGGAATAGCCCCTTATTTGAAGCAAGGAATATACCACCTTAAGGGCACAGACTATTGAAGCTAGTTGTGATGTTTTGTACCTTTATTGTTTAAGGCCACACAGGATTGAGCAATGGTGGTGGGTTTTTGTTGCCTTTATACACAGATGGTCTGATAATTACGGCTGTCTTCCTTCACGATACAAACTGTGCACTTACGTTCTTGCGTTGAACTACATATGCAAACAGGCCCTTCCTGTGGCTGCTCACTGCTAAATTGGTGGCCCTGGCCCGAATCCAGGTCTCCGTTTCTGTATGGTGCCAGCCATTCAAGACGCCTGCAAGCGTGCAAAACTACTACGCTGCCTCCCCTCTCCCTCCTCCATGCTGGCTTCAAATCAAATGGAAGAATAAATCAACAGCTAGATTACTGCCCTAAGCACACACCTGCTGACACTTCATGCGGCTGTAATTGCAATGGGAAAGCTAAGTGTATCATCAGGAAAGCCAACTTAATTAAAAGCAGTAAACATAACAGGATGTGGAGCACAGAAAGTAGCTCCCATCATGCAACATGCCCTGTGTCTAGACTGGGGGGTTTTCCCAGCCTCTTGTACACACATTGATGGAAGAAGCACTCTCTAAGCTATCTGAATAACAGCAAGAGAAAAATCACTTTTTTATTGTTTTCATCTGGAACATTTTGCAGGTTCTTGGTAACGCACAATATTATTATAGCCTGACCACCAAGCACATAAGGGCTTACATTCAAAACCCAGATGAATACGACTGTGTGTTAAACACAATAAAATTTAATCTGCAAAGGAAGAGAAGTGTGTAGAAATGCTCTAGAAATGTATTTCAAAAACCGTGAAAACCCACAAACTGAATACAATCAGCATTCTTCTCCAAAACAAGAAGAATCGACTGTTCCCATGTAGGGCAGAAACATGTTTTAAACATGAAGAATATTAGCAAACATCGCTTTTTTAGGTTTACATTAATGTTCTTATACTAATTCTAAATGAAAAGTTAAACAGATTTAATCAACATAAAATAAATGTGTACACGTGCAGCGCTCTGCTGTATGCAGTAAACCACTTTCTATGGCAGAAACATATCAGCCTAAAAATACAGCACTTCCATCTGCACATGCTTTTAACATTAATTCAGGTCCTGCTTCAGATAACAAGAATTAGAAGAGGTTACAAGATGGCACTCCCCTCTCCCTCTGTTCTTCACATACTTGCCAGCAGCAAATTTTCTTCCAGAGAAAGTTTCTTTCTGGAGGTCTTTCACCTAGTAGCACAACAGTGACCAGTCAAAACATACTTATATAGGGAACCCATGGCTGAGCTCCAATGCAAAAAGTTGGCATTCAGGAGGTGGAAGCAGGTACAGGCTACCAAGGAGGTGTGATGTTAGGAAAGCCAGACCTCACTTACAACTGATACTTGCAAGGGACACCAAGTGCAGCAAGAAGAGCTTCTACCACTACACTGGCAGTGGATGGTATCTGTGGACAAGCTGGAGAGCAGCAGATGTCATTTATCTCAACTTCAGCAAGGCTTTCCACACTGTCTTCCACAATATTCTTGTACCCAAGTTCAAACATTACGGTCTGGACAGGCGGACAGCTAGGATGGCTAAAAAAAACCTGGTTGGATGATGGGGATCAGAGGGCAGTGGTCAATGGGTCACACTCTCCCTAGAGAGTATGAAGCAATCGCTGGTAGTACCACAGAGGTCTGGACCTCTCTTGTTGACAAGCGTGTTGCTGGAATTGGTGATAGAGTACTCTCACCAAGTTGGGAGATGGCACCAAACAGGGGATCAGTCAGTGAGCTCAAGGGCAGGGCTACCACTGAAAGATCTAGTCTGGTTGGAGGAATGGCCTGACAGGAACCTCATGAAATTGAACAAAACCAAATGCAAAGTCTTTCCTGTGGGAAGGATGAACATCTTGCTGGCTGTGGAGCAGCTCTGCTGAAAAAGCCCTAGGGGTCATGGTAGACACCAAGCTGAACATAAGCCAGCAGTGTGCCATGACAACAATAAAGGCCAACAGATCCTGGACTGTGTCAACAGAAGCCTAGCCAGTGGATCAAGGGAAACAATACCACCTTTTACTGAGCACTTGCTGGACCACATCTAAAATACCACATTTAGTTTTGGCATCCCCAGTAAAAAGAATGAAATTGATAAACTGGAGCGAGCTCAGCAAAGGGCCACCAAGATAGTCAGGGGCTGGGGCACTTGCCCTATGAGGAGAGGTTGAGGGACTTGGGCTTGTTCAGCCTAGGGAAGAAATGGCTTCACTGGGACCCAAGAGCAGCCTGGCAGTACCCAGGAGAAGGTTACTGAGAAGATGGAGCCAGGATCTTCCCAGTGGTGCAGGGTGGGAGCACAACAGATGATGGAGGTAAACTGAAACAAAAAGAGGTTCTGACTTGGTATGTGGAAAAACTTACCCACCATGAGTACAGCCAGGTAGCAGAGCATGTTGCCCGCAGAGGTTGTGCTATCTTCTTCCCTGGAGTTTTCCCAAGACCTAACTGGTTAAAGCCCTGAGCAACCTGGTCTGACCTCATGGCTGACTCTGCTCTGAGCAGGACTGGAGGTCTCCTGAGAATCATAGAATCATTAAGGTTGGAA